CTGGATTGGCCCTAACCAGGACTATTTAGCACCCAGACCTCAGCATCACGAAGGCTGTAACTTTATAGGGAGCCGGAGCCCGCAGCACCGTGAGCGGTGCATTCCTGAAACTCTCCTATACCAGCGTAATGTCAACAGAAAGGGCTGGGTGGTGATGTAATGTCTGAGGGCATGCCAGAGTCAAGACACTTTTTGTTTGATTCACAGGGTACAAGTTATTTCTCCCCACCCCCTGCCTTTTTCTCAAGCGGGCAACAGGCAGTTACTTCACATCTCCCAGCGTTATGGAGCCTGACATTATCTGCACAGTGTAAAAAAAAGAATGAGCTGATAGCATCCATCATTGTGAAACAAGCAACAACCCTTGAGCAAGAAAAGCTTTTGGACTATTTTCGTTTGGAAGGAGGGGTTGTGTTCTGGGGGGGTTTTGTGGGTCTTTGTTTGCTGCTGCCTATCACCACAGCCTCTCAGGCTCCTACACTTAAAAACATTTGGGTACATGAAGCCCTTCAGTACTTTCTGCATCCTCAGATCCAAGGAGATAACTAAAACCCCCTAGCACTTAAACATGTCCCAAACTCTAATGCTGACAAGAATGGAAACTCCCCCAGCCCCCTGACACAACTTGAGATTCTCACACATTTTAGGATCTGTTTGTAAACTCTTGTGCACACTGGGGTGAAGTCAGTGGGAGTCAGGAGCATAGATAAACTGCCTTTAAAATTCAGGGCCGGGATTCCTGCACCAAAAGGATGGATAAGTGACGCTCTCACATAAATCTCTACAGCCAACAGAGGGAGTGGGCAGCTGAGTCGTCCTGAATCCATCCTGCCCATCTTATCCTTTCTCCCTTTCACCGCTGTGTGACTCAGGAGAGCTCCTGGATAATGCAAAAGGCCTCCAATTGTGAACACGTTTATCTACCACCATCAGAGCTCTCCGACCACGAAAAGGAAACCTGGTGCCATGTGAATGAGGTCATTACAGTCATGACATGGACAAAAGACAAAGTTCTGAGAGAAGCAAATGAAGACAATTACAAATGGGCAAATGAAATAGCAGCTCAACATTGCCTCTCAAGCTTTGGTAGCTGTAAGAAACAAGGAAAGTCCTGACTGTGGCATTTCTAGTGTGTACATTCAGTGAATTTCAAATCAGGTTCACAAGGACTAAGGCAGTAACGCTTCTGGAGGCAAACAACAGTTTGCAAGCAGACAGAAAGAAGTAAAGCTGTTCATCCTCCAAGATCCCTGTCACTTGGCTTGTGTCACAACCCACACACACAAAATACCCGCAACAACTCAAAACCAACTACGCATTTCAGAGTATGTTCTTTTAACCTTAAAAAAATAAAAAATGGGTTAATCTTTCTGAATTTTCTTCCTTAAAGCATTAATGGTACTTCACTCTTTAAGAGGTTTCAATCTACTCGCATTAGAGGGGCTCCCACAGCACAAGCTGAGGTGTGGGTCACTGCACGCCTGCTGGCAGCGGGCTCCTCTCTGGAGCCAGGAGTTGTGGATCCGAGTCCTGCTGAGTACCCGTCACACTGCAGACACCAAACAGTCAATCCTGAGAAATGACCAGTGGGCAGAGCCCAAGTGCCACCAACAGACACAAACCGATCCCCAAGGAGCAGCCCGCGTTTCCTTTGTGCAGACACTGCATTACTTTGACACGCATGCCTTGTCAAATCTGGTCATTATGGGAACTTAAGTGTTTCATTTCTTACAATATAAAGGCGATCTCTAGGAGAACTCCCAAGTTGTGTGCTTGCAGCTCAGAATCTGTTCGTTTTTGCCATACTAGAATCCAATGGCTCCTTGTGGAACATGGTGTTCTCTGCCTTCCTTGTAGATCTTCATCCATGTGTCACAACAAACTTCCAAAGGCAAGTACTAAGATACTATGACAGTTGTGGGCTTTTAAACCCTGGTGGTCATGATTTACAGGGAAATTTTCTGTGAGGAAACCATCTCCAGGTACCAACCTCGGACAAAGTCTGTGAGGAGCTAAGTCTCGCAGCGCTGAAAGGAAACCTCTCCATCTTTCATCAGCCCTCCAATCCCTTCCTTATATTGCATTCAAATGCTTGCCAGAGCCCTCCGAGTGTCAATACAAGTCATGAACCCACAAGAAGCAGTAAATGCTTCTGCCAGGTTAGGAAGTTGAATCAGCAGAAGGTCTTGCATCATCTCTGCTGGATGAGGAAGGCCTCCTCCTTCCAGCAGTTCACTTTTTTCCCCAATGCAACTGCATTCTGAGCACGGATGAGTTAAGGTTATTCCTTTCTTGTTAGGGTTAAAATGTAGGATCAAAATGCAACTTCATCAGATGAACTAACTGTGCAGATAACACAAACCAGTATTTGAACACAGGACAGTCACCTTGGTAAATTACTAGGCTCCACATGAAGCAGTAAAACCTAACTATTTAAGCAACTTAAAAGGCAAAAATAAAGACTGAGTCAGTTTAATAAAGATAAAAGAAAAATTGAAGACGGAGAAAATCAGAGGTGCAATGAGAGAAAGGCTGTGAAGAAGGCTTCCTACCACAAGTGCCACTCATAATTTGAGCACAACTTTCTTATCCTTAGATCCCTTCTAATGAGCCTTAGCCCACACCAAGTTTTGATCCCATGAGGAAATACAAGCAAGGAATTCTATGAAGCTCACTTTGCACGGGTCTCGAATGAAAGACATTCTTTATTAAGGCAGAGAACAGCAATATTAAATGGGAGAGGGGGCTGGGACCAAGTTAAATTGGAAACAGATTTATTCCTTTTTTCAGAAAATTCTGATTTGTGGGAGGACTCTTGTGAACATTTCTTACTCACAAAACTCACCAAAAAGCAAAAGGATGCTACTGGCATACAAGGGTGAAACTCAAAAAACACTGTACATTTTTTAATTCATCTTGCAGAGGGTTCCAACTGCAACCTTCTTTTCTAGATATAGCTGGGACTGGATCCCCTGTGAAAGGCAGTCCCTAAGAACCATCCCCAGTGCTGACAATCTCAGTCAGCTGAAATTGAGCATCACCAGACAGTTTGTCATTGGACCACATGTTGGCATTTTCTGCAACTTCGTGACATGTTTTCCTTCCAGTTAGAGCACAGGTAGGAGCAGGTATCTAAACGTCAAATTCTACAACTCTAGTAGTCCATATTACATTTCATCTTCCCTATAAGCTTCTTAAAGCATTTATAAGAGAACATAAATGTCCTATGCTCTGATTTCCAACTGGTTAGCAGCATTATAAGCACTATAATAAGGATGTTGAGATTCTGGAGCGTGTTCAGAGAAGAGCCACAAGGATGGGGAGGGCTCTGGAGAACAAGGCTGATGAGGAGCGGCTGAGGGAACTGGGCTTGTTTAGCCTGGAGAAGAGAAGGCTGAGGGGAGACCTCATCACCACCTACAACTGCCTCAAGGGAGCTTGGAGAGAGGTGGGTGCTGGGCTCTTCTCCCAGGTGATGGGGGATAGAACAAGGGGAAACGGCACCAAGCTGTGCCAAGGGAGGTTCAGGTTGGAGATAAGGATGAAGTTCTTGACTGAGAGGGTCGTCAGAAGCTGGCACAGGCTGCCCAGGGAGGTGGTGGAGTCACCATCCCTGGATGTATTTAAGGAGTGGGTAGATGAGGTACTTAAGGATATGGTTTAGTGGGTAGACAGGAACAGTTGGACGTGATGATCTCAGAGGGCTTTTCCAACCGAGTGATTCTGTGATTATGTGCTGCTATTTATCCAAACAGAAGGTCTCTCATGCCAAAAGAACGGCAAGTTTTTTTAAAAATGCAGGCTTCAACCTGACACAGCACAGCCATATTCTTCCCACTGAAATAACACCATAAGAAAATTGCTTAGAAAGCACAACAGACACCAAGACTTTTATCTAGCTCTTCAGTAACAGACGAGAAGCTAAACTGTGTCAGAGCACATACAGGTCTCTGACTTCCAGAGGAGAAGACAGTGTCATTCTTCTGCTGACTGAATGACGGATCACAAATCATTAGCTGTTTTCTTAAACAATATGTGTTTGCCCATTCTTTATGGTAAACCTCATCAGTTTTTTAAGATGGATTCATTATTGCATCTTCACATTCCTTCTGCCAAAAACAACATGAAACTCAGAAACACTGCTCAAGTTCAGTGACGTCAATGTGTTTCCTACTTGCAATCCGAAGGCAGCTCAACTCTGCCTCCTGCAGCAGCAGCAATAGAACTGATGTCCGAATTCTGACTGCAGGAGTTTCACTCATGACAGCAGAGAAATTTTAAGATCTTGGTTCTACATTATCATGGCTCGAAAATACAACTTTTGTCCCTCAGCAGTGTTAGTGGTTATTCAACACAGCTGTCCAAAGGCAATACCCAGCTCTAGAATCACGCAGACTGCTGTTGGTCACTGTGTGTGACCTATTCCTTTGTGATCAGTAGTAGGGACACAGTCCTGCATCACTGAATTAACAAACTATTCCTTCCTAGCCACCTGCCATCACCACTTAAACGCTCAGCTATAAAGACCTATCATCTGATCCAGTACTACAGCATTAAAGGGGAAACATTATAATTTGAAATAAGAATCAGTAACTCTACAAATCCACAACATTTATGTCTTGTGGGATTGCCTCTACTGCACTCAGTAGCAATACTGAAATGAAAGGAAGATGCTTCCTAACCATAAGGAGATAATAATGCCTATTCACATATTAATTGGACCTAAAAAGCCTCTGCAAGTATTTTTCTTGTGAATATCACCTTCCAAGTACGTAGTGGATCACATCAAACAAGAGGTAAAACTCGGTGATTTGGAATATATGTTTTTCTTCTTTCAGAGCCTATGTTGCAAAACACCTCTGAGTTAAGCCTACATGTGTCCTGCCCTCTTGTTTTGCCTTCTGAATCAGAAAAAAACCCACCTTACAGAGGTGTTTTCAAACACTTCTGGAATCTATGGAGACTCAGGACAGCACCGCTTGCTTATTACCTGATCACGATCACCTGCAAAGCAGCAGCTCTTCATAGTACACGAATTGAAGTAGCCCTGGTTGTCAAACTGGAAGACAGGCAGGCGGCAGTGGATGTCGTAGAGGACTGGGGGAAGGCGCCGCCGCAGCGCCAGCAGCTGGGTCCCGTTGCTGTTGAACCGGACACTCATGGCACTCTGAAGGGAGAGGTTTCCACCGTAGCGGAGCAAAGAACTGGGAAAAGAGAGAGGGAACAAGTGAGATGTGCACATGAACTGAACTACTCAGAGACAGAGCTCTCTTTAACCTTACCGAATCATTTCAAACAAGCACGCACAGTGAACCAGAATCTTATTTAGCTTCTGCTTCAAACATCAGCTCCTGAACAAACTTGATGGAAAACCTGAATGACCAACTGTCAAAATACAAAGCCTATAGAGTTGTCAGAGGAGTAAAGTGAAAGACTGAGTAGTTTTGTTACTACCAAATACATCTCCTGCATGGGAGCAGTGTCTCACAGAGGAGCCTGAGCCTTAGGAAGGCTGCTGTTCTACCTCTGGGAAGTCTGCATCTGAGACTGGCCCTACCAGCACTCAGCTGGTGCCTGAATCCAGGCCAGCCCAAGCTTCCTTCCCTCCACTCTGGCACTGGATGCTATTTTTTCTGGTTGTAGATACTCTGACCATTATCACTTCTAGTTTCTACAGGGCATCGGAGATGTTTGAACTCTGCAGTCAGTTCCAGCTGCCTTAAATAAAGGCCACCTTATTAACAAGTTACTGCAAGAAATGCTAAACCAAGTTACTCAGCTAATCTCAAACTTGCTTCATCTAAAAATACTGCCAAGTAGGCAAGACAATTATGCTGCCACATGACACCCAGAACTCTCACATGGATGAATGAGCCAGCTTCCTTGTCCCATATACGGCTGTACCATCAAAGCTGGAGTATTCGTATCAGTTCTTGTTGACATACACAAGACAAAAACCAAACAGTCTCATATTTCCAGGCTCTCTCTTTAAAACAACAACAGAATATGGAATATGTTCTATCCAGGAACCTAAATATAACCAAAGCATACCTGAAGTTTTACTTGCACTGTACGGGCTGTTTTGGTTTTTGTTTTTTCAAAGCCCTGTACTTGAAATGATCGTGTGTACGAGAAGGGAGACAAAGCAGGAAGACATTTTATCCCCTTTTCTGTTCAGTGACCACTAACCTTCTTAAGCAGGACCAGATCTCGACCTCTTGTTAACAGGTTTTGAGTAATCCCCACCAAATCTCGTTAAAAGCTGTGACTTTTATGCACCTTCTGGACAGACAGGACAAACCAGCACAGAATCTGCAGATTCTAGGCGGACGTTTAGTTTTAGATTTTAATGCATTTTACTTGCTGATACAGCCCTCTGCCCCAACACTTGTGAGAAGTGAGTCACTCCACACGGATGGGAAGCCACATTCCATGCAGGTTGAAGCATGAGAAACTGTAAGGTTAAAAACTATTGTTCCTAAGCCAGAGCTAAACAAAACCGAAGACAAAAGAGAAGACTCCACAAAACGAATGCACTAGAAATACACTGCTCTCACTCACACTGAACTGCACAGTCAAAGCCAGGGCGCCAGGAAAGAACCAGAAGTCACATCTTCAAAGCCAATAGTAAGAGCTTCAAGCTGGGCACCAAATCTCCTGAACGCCTGCATCAGCAGGAACCCTGCTCTGTCTCACGTGTGTGTGCGTTCTCCTCCTCCCAGGCAAAGAGGCCGAGCATCTCAAGAGCTTTTATGGTTTATAATAAAAACGTGAAAAAATTTAATACTAGAAACAGTAATCCTAGAGACAAGGATTTAGGATCCCCCCACCAGCCCTCATTTCTGTTCCTCAAGATTAATGAAGTACTTGGCCAGCTCAAAGCAGTTAGTGAGGCACTGAAAAACAAAACAAACCCCAAAACACACATGACGTTTACCTCCCTCTCTCCTGACAGGTTTGTGTAAGCCAGAAGCTTTTTCCTATGGAAGTTTGCACTTCCTAAAAAAGAAAAGGCAAACCCACAAAAATAAAACAAACCCCCTAATCTCAATCCAAAAAGCACACAGAAGAAATAAACCCAGACCTTTTTTTGGCTAAGAAAGGTCATTTTTGTCATATAAAAATGTAGGTGTACTCACCACAGATAAGAACACTGTAACATATGTGCACCAACCAGAGTTGATATCAATGTGTGGTCACCAGTGCACCAAGACCAAGCCCCTCTCCTCATTACCAGTCCTCCTCAGCCTAAACCACAACCCAGAATTCGCTCCTGCCTACAAGTGAGCGAGCTACCAGATGCCCCATCCTTTCGAATCTTCAAGCAAAGTTCCCATGGTTACTATTATTACGCCCTGCCTGAAATATTTAGATTATATTTCATAGTAATAGCAGTGTACTATTAAGCCAGCTTCCATTCTGCTTACAGACGTTTTCGTTAAGCTCCTGTAGCAGTCAAAGCTACCAAAGAAAACACCTCATGGAGCTGAGCTCTGTATTGTGCTCCAGTAGCTTTACTGTAACGAAGCTCTACAAGAATATTTTACTTCAGAAACTAAATGAAGTAAGAAGGACTTGAACTTCACAAATCACAATCACATACACACATAAGAGGTCTGGAGTTAAGGAGCTGCACAGTTAAGACCTGTCAAAACTTTGCCTACCTCATACCCTTAACTCCACACAATTCAGCCCCACGTGCAATGGAAACACAGCTTGTGCTGCAGCTCCTTGAACATGACATTTGGCTCAAGGGAAGAAGGAATAAAAACAACAAAAAACCCAAACCCCACACTAAATAAAAGGCACTGGGCTAAGTTTGGCTGACAGAAAGAGATGCTAGAATAGCCATGTGTCATTTATATACCAGTGA